CAATCTGCATGGTGGAGAGTATATCTTCCTGGATGAAGTGTCAATGGTGGATAAACAATGAGTTCTACAAGATTTGTGAGCAGATGTGTATAGCCAGGAATAAGCGTGATGAGCCCATTTGGAGGAATTAACATCATTATAGCTGGAGACTTTGCTCAGCTGCCTCCTATAGCCTCTGGGTAATGCCTTGTATGCTGGAAGTGTTACATCTGCCCCACACTCTACAAACTCTGTACACAGCCAGAAGGCAGCTATTGGCAAGGCTCTCTGGCACCGGTTTACTACAGTGGTTATTCTGAAGCAGAACATGAGACAGAAGCGCCAGACAGCAAATGATGGGAAGCTAAGAAAATGCCTGGCAAATATTAGTTATGGAGTCTGCACAGATGCAGATATTAAGCTGCTGAACTCAAGGATTGTAGGACGAGCAAATGGTAGACCCAAGCTGTCAGATCCTAGATTTCATCATGTATCCAATCACCTCATGGAATGCTCACAGAGACAAGATAAATGAAGTGAGATCTGTGCAGTTTGCTGAGGAAGCTGGGAAGTCACCTCAGGAGTTCTATAGCAATGACAAGTGGAAGGCAGATGTGAAGGAAAGCAGGAAGAGGAAGAGAGGCCAAGCCCATGAGATCAATCCCAAGAGGATAAATAATGAGATTAACCCTTTCCTCAAAGAGACTTTGTAAAGTTTACCTCACTCTTGCTCACAGAATCACCCTGGTGTATTGAAGCTATGCATTGGTCTACCTGTGATGATCAAGAGAAACTTGGCCACTGAGTGCTGTGTAACCAATGGAGCTGAAGGCAGAGTTGTAGGCTGGAAGTCTAAGCCCTTGAATGATAGTGAAAAGATGCAGCTAGAGACTGTGTCCGTAGAGCTTATCGGTCCACCTAAGCCAATACAATTAGAGGGATTACCAGCTAACGTGGTATCTATATCTAAGGTAGCTGTGGCCAACAAGTGTATGATGCCAAATGGCAAGGTCTTGACTATCAACAGAGATTAGATCCCACTTGTGCCTAATTTTGCCATGACAGACTACAACTCTCAAGGCAGAACAAGGGCTGACAATATAGTTGACCTGCAGAACTGCAGAAACCATCAGTCTGTCTACACATGTCTTTCCAGAGGTTCATCATATGAAGGCACAGCTATTATCCATGGATTTGATGACAAGAAGATCAGAAATGGAGTATTTGTGGCAGCCAAGGATGCAACAACTTTGAAGACACCGAGCAATGACAAGAAGCCTGTGAAACAGCAACACAAGTCGAGCAAAGAAGCAGAAGAAGCTCAGACTTGACCAGAATAATGCCATGACCACTTAGAAGTGGGGCTTTGATTGGAGCAATTACAACTGTGCCTATGATAGCTTATTTGTCATACTGCTCCAGTCACTGTATGATTCAAGTCAATCAACATGGAAGTTGACTTCAAACCAACTACCTATGTTAACTTCACTTGTCAAGACATGCAAGTCAGCAAAAAGAAAGACTCTATCTTTGACTACTGCCGAAGACTTAATCGGAGCTAAGCCTTGTGTAGTTTCCACTACATGCCAATGAGGGTACTAAGATTCATGAGCTGTGTAGCCATATACTTGAACCATTAGAGGACTTCTGGCACAAGGAATACATGTGCACATCATGTGGAATCAGTCAGATAATTGGTAGAAGCAAGAATATGACCTATTGTGACTTGCTCCTTGTATGCTTCCCATACAGATGGCAGAGACAAGGCATCATAAGTGGACCTGTTGATGAGAGAACTCCACTAGAGTGGTTACATGCCAATACAAGACAAATACCCAATACAACATGCAGTAGCTGTGGTACCAAGCTAGTGAAGGAAGTAATCATAGATGATTTGCCTCAATTTCTCAAGTTCAAAGTTGATGAAGTTACTGTTAAGTGGACTTGTACCTGTCCAAGTTCAGTATAGAAGTATAGGCTATGTGAATTTATTTATTATGGCAATGAGCACTTTACAGCAAGGATAGTTTGTGCTGATGAGGAAGTATTGTATAATGATGGATTAAAGCATAATAGCCTATATCACTTGGAATTCCAGCTTTGTAGCATGACACCAGTCTAACTTGCCAATAGTCTAGATAGGCATAAGCTGGCCTTTGGATTTTATAGTCAGATGTTATAAATAAACAGCATAATAGTCTGTAAATTATTATTATTTATGTGATAGGCACATTATTCATAAGATTTACATAATAAGATGATGAGGAATTACTGCCAATGTATTTTGCAAAGTTATAAAGTAATACTATATATAGCTCCAAGTCTCATATAAATAGTAAGCTATTATAATATGTAAGTTATTATTATTTATGTTGTAGCTTAAAAGATATGAAAAATTTGTACCTGCCAAGCATACATGCTATAGTTCATATAATCTTAGTGTAATATAACACCAGCTCAACTTGCCAATAGTCCAAATAGGCATAAGCTGGTCTTTAGATTTTATAGTCAGATGTTGTATATAAAGAGTATAACAATCTGTAACTTATTATTATCCAATGTAATAGCTACATTATTCATAAGATTCATGTAATAAAATGACGAAAAATTACTGTTGATATATCTTGCGAAGTTGTAAAGTAATACTTTATATAGCTCTAAGTTTTACATAAATAGTAAGCTATTATGATATTTAAGTTATTATTATTTACATTGCAGCATAAAAAAAATGAAGAAATTATACCTGCCAAGCATATATGCTACGGCCCACATAACTCTAGTGAAGAACATATTGTGGTGAAAACCATCTATGAGAAAGGTTGCTTTAGCTAGGCCAAAGAACAAAACTGGGTGCATTTCATGAAGGAGATAGTATGGTAAATATCCTGTCTAGTACCTCACAGTAATCTTGTCTGCAAAAAAGGCATGTGGAATATAAGTGGGCCATTTGTGTACTTAACCATCACATATCTTTAGAAGGGATTCCCAAATAATGAAGTGACATCTTTCTACAACTCCATTTGTTCATGAGCTGTAGTCTGAAATTGCACATGTAGAATGCCATATCTCCCTATCAGCAAGCTATAGGTTGCTTTTATTTTAGGCCTATTATCTGTGGTTATCTGGCCTACTGTTTCATATGTAGAGGATGTAGAGACCATGATAGATATCGCAGCTTTAGCCACATTTCTAATTTGACATTGATGGCAAGATCTCACATGATGCTGCACATCATTCCATAGTAAAGGTCAGTAGAAGTGTTTCTTTAAAGTTGCTATAACTGCTGATTTTTCTTTATGTTCATAATCTTTGTGAGCAGCTCTTAGCAGCTATTAACGCTTAGCTGTGGTAAAAATACATTTCACAGGGCCTTTAGCTTCTCACCACTTGTACATCACTTGTTCTGAGACGTAAAACTTTATGGCTTTCTTAATAAACCTCTTTTTGCTCTTCAGATCTGCAAAATCTAGTGTCCACATGGCCTCCTGAAAATGATAGATTTCAGTAATAATTTAGTCTTGCTGGAAGAAAAATGCAGCAAGGGATATATTCTTGCTAGGTTCATCTTCATTATAGATGCATGAATAAAATACTTGCAAGATTCAAGTCAGTTAAGAGCTCACCATCATGGTGAAATGGGTTACTAGCTGGAGTCATTTTTTACACTGTATTGGAATATACAGTGGGATGTTGTCTAGCCAGCTGTCATTTTTTTCACAAGATTTCTCTTCTTCTCCCAGCTCTTTTCTTGACAACATGTCAGGACCTCTATGCTTTTTAGCTGGAACGTAAACTAGCTCAAAGTCGAAGAGCAGGATTCTTTAGATCTAGTGATTGATGGTAGCATTAGATTGCAGGTTAGAATCATTAAGCATATTTTTAATATACTTGGCATCCACTTTTATTACTAAGTGCTTGACATTAATAATATAAAGTTGATAGGTCTGTAATGCTCTGAATAATCTGTAAAGCTCCAGTTTTGGCTGTGAGTAGCATGCTTCATGGTTGTTTATGGAAATAGACTCATAGTATGCTAGCTGCTTTCTTTCATCTTCATCTAATTGGAATAAAATAAATCCCACAGCTATGATACTGGAATTCACTGAAAGAACTACTGGCCACTCTTATTGATAGTCAATGAAGTGCAACACATGTGGTGATATTAGGGCCTGTTTCAGTTCTTTATAGTTGACATCATTGGTGTGTTTTCAGATAAAGCAACGTATCTCTGGATTGACTTGTAATACTTCAGGTTGACCTAACTTGTCTTCATACTGGCTTATTAAACCTCTGATTGGAAGGTTATCAATGAAGATATTGGCAGAGTCAGAAATTTCCTGCTGAAGAATGAATAATATGCAGGCCTAGAACTCAGCAGGTGAGTTAGTAAAACCAGTGTATAAAGATGTAATTTGCAAAAGGCCAAGAGATATAAGAAATGCTATAAGCTCCTTGCTTTAAGAGTGGACTTTATAAGCATCAAAGCTTCAGTGAAGGTTAAAGACTGTGTAGCACTAATATTTTGCAAATAGCTCTACAAAATTTTCCAGGTTAAAAAGAAAGCCTGCAGCTCTAATAATAACCTCATTGAGAGGCTGTAAATCATGAACAATTCTAAGGTTCCCACTTTTCTTCAAAACACAGAACCATCACGAACAATAAGATGACTGACTAGGTTCATAGACTTCGGCCACAATTTTCTTCCTAAGTAAGTCAATCACCTTCTAGTATATTCCAAAAGATATAAGAATATTTTTAAATGCCCAAGATACATGGGATACCACTGATAATGTACAGGAAGAAATAATCTTCTCTAAAAGTGCCTCACTGAGTGTCTTTGAAGACAAAATGATTCTGATAGGTTTGAAGGATGTAGAACAGATTCTTCTCTTCTGGCCAGAGAAATCCATCTGGGTTGATATTCATGGCCTCCAAATTTTCTTAGCTAAGCCAGCCTCCATTAGGAGTAAACTTAGGTGGGTTAGGTGACAAAGTAGGCAAACTGGCCATTGGATCTTCAAAAAACTGCCTATTAACTCTTGCATCTTTTGGAAAGACTGCAGGCACAGGTTTCACCTTTCTATCTGCTCTTTTGTAAGCAGTAAGTACTTCTAGAGCACTCATCAATTTTGCTGAAGAGAACATCTGATCTCTGTTCCAAGTTATTATAATGTCTTCTTCATCCGGAGAGTCAATAAAGGCCTCCATGTCACTTGTGAACATGACAAATTCAACTTCATCCCAGGCTAACTCAGAAAGGTCATCTTGTTTTGGCATATAAAGTGCCCATGCTATAGCTTTATTGTTAACTTCCTTATTTGGTTCAGAGCTCAAAGTGCCAGCATTGTTAAGGTGCTAATGGTCTGTATCAGCACAAGACCCTGACAAACTTGCTGCAGCATTTAACAGAGCTATAGTGCTTGTTGTTGTCTTCAGGCTTTTTTCTGTCCTGACTTCTATTGCATTGCCTGGGCAGTAGTTTTGCCATCTCAAAGGCAAATTTATGTCATCTGGCACACACTCAGAAGTTGTTTGAAATGTAAGTTGTCAAAGGTGTCTTACATGAGTGCAAAAGTGGAGCTGCTAATACTTTGTGATATTGGTTAGCAGCTGAGGCTGCTATAGCATGAGAGTTTCCACCTATTGTATATATATGCCAATATAAATCTAAAGTCTGTAACACAAGTTCGTAGATGTCTATGCAAAAACCACCACTATATAAGATACAAATACAAGTGCACAAAAGGCAGATACCAGCAAGAGACAAAGATCAACAAAGAATGTAGCTGACAGGGCAACTTTCTGTTGTCATTGAACATGACAGTGCTCGGGTCGAGACACTACTACCAGCTATTACTGGTGCAAGCAGCTAAAATAGTCTGTTTGCAAAGTATACAAGAAACCAGCAGGCTAATGCAAACACAGTCAGAGTCCATAAAAGAAAATATGAACAAACTGAAGTGCCTTGTCCAAAACGTAGGTTTGAAATGAAGACAGCTGGGCCTTCGGATGACTTTTCACAACGTGATCCTAAATAAAAGTCCATAACTATAAGTGACTCGTCTGGCCAAGAGCAAGAAGATATGTTAGCCAGGAAGTCAGACAAATAGAGAGCAGCAGAACATACTTTAGGCAGTGCCATTCTATAAAGAATACAAGACTATCTGGCATGTAGCTCTAACTGAGCTACGTCACTAAGTGATGTGCCAGTCACCAATTTGAAGGTTGTCATTGGCAAGGCTGCAAAACTACAGGGCAAACTCAATGATATAAGATACAATAATCCTGCATGCCATCCTTATTATTCACATGCTAAAAATGGCAGCACTGATGCAATGTGAGTTGTTTTTCTGTGTGCAGAAATGACAAGCCAAAGTTTTCATGATACAGATAAAAAGTCTCAAAGGTCATGGCACAGCTTGCTGAGGTGAATGTCATTGATGAACAAAAGGAGGCTGAATGCAACTATAAAGTTTACTTTACTGTCAACAATCTTGAGAAGATGCCTGTGTATTGTACAGACTCTTGCAAGACACATGGTACCACTGTTTCCAGTGTGGTCAAACTTGTTGACCACTATCTGCACTAGGTTGAAAAGGCACAAGAGCAGGCTGCAGTTGATGCACTTGGGCATATTCTTGGTAAGAAAGTGGTGGGCACCAATGGAAGCTCTAACATTGACATTGAGTTTGTATGGAGCAAATGTTGGCCAACTGTCAGAGTTATTGACAATATATTTACAGTGCACATCACATACATCATTTTTCTAGAGGTTCTGGGAGTAAATTTCAATGTTGTTGCTCAAGTTAGAGAGCAGCAAAGGTAAAACTGGCATGCTCGAGTCCAAAATGTCCATAGACATGAGTTCTTGCTCCACCTAAGCTATAGCTTGTAAAATGTTATTGACACATTTGATAGACTCATGAAAATGCACCTGGGCTCTAAATTCTGCAATGATCTCAGAGCTATTGTCCCTGCAGCTGCTTGAAATAGACTCAGTTGACTCAAGCGATGGGCTGTTGGGAGGGTAAAGGGGCTCTGACTTGTTTTCTTTAGCATCACTTGCTTTAGCTTAAGTAAAGAGTGTCAAGACCTGACATAGAGTCTGGAGTGGAAGTACAAAAGGTGTTGGACTAGGTTTGATTAATCATGTAGTAGTAACTACTATGATGTGCAATGTATTATCTACTAGTAACTAAGTTAGCAATTGCGTAGAGCCTGTAAGGCCTCTTTGGCACTTCTTAATATGCTATATATAATGCTTTTATCAACTGAGCTTGAAATTAGACTGTATATGTAATATATCACTTTTTTGAAAAAATAAATGACTAAGCTAAAACATTATTTCAATATAGTGAAGCATGTCAAAATATATAATATGTTTGAACATATCACATATTGAATGTTTTTGCATTATGCCATGAAAAACATATGTACAAATAAGTTCTTCATTAGTAAACAATCCAGCAATGCAGTATTTGGGCTGTTATTCACAAAAAACTCGCTGGCAGCTGGTAAGTTTTTGAATACATATGATAGCACTTTTGGATTTGAAATAAGTGCCAGAGCACGGGAAACCAGCTTCTGCAGGCTATTACACTTGCTCTCCTTTCTTTTCCTCATAGAAATGTTAGGGCAAGTGTTAAAATAAATTCTAGTATACTTGTATAGTGTATATACTTTAACCCTTATGTCTTCCTGTAGTGTATAAATTATAATAGGTAATAAATAAGCTTTAAAGTGAAGAAGGGCATCAGAAACAAATGGTCCTGTACCTTGTATAGAGCTTGTAAGAAAGTCAGATGGCTCTAGATATATCTATACATTTTATGCAAGTATGGAAAAGCAATTTAGAGGCCAAAATGACATGCAGAGATGGAGACAGGAGGCCAAAACCCTTATTGCACTCATGGTAGCTTGTTCACTGTTCTCAGCCTTTAGTAATGAATGTAGCTAGGTACAAATGATTGTGCAGGTGTTCTAGCACTAGTAGATAATATATACAGCTTTGTGGAGCTCTATCACACTGGGAAAGGGCTAAACTACACTTAACAACATGGGTATGCAAACAGAGCTTAAAAACACCACATATGCAAATGTACAGAAGTCTACAGGCAGAGACTAGCTAAATGCAGTTATATACATAGTACTCAGACATATTCTAATCCTTCCAAATAGTGATCCACTTCCCATCTATGCTGTAGGAGCCAGGCACACACCTGTGCACAAATAGTGGTTTTAAACTGGTTAAAACTTCATCAAAGTGTCACTTCAGAGTTAACTAATGCACTGCTCCACTGATACATGATCTCTAGACCTACAAAGTTGTATACCCTCATTTTCATAAGCTGGAAATTGATCGGAAATGGCTCACTGTCAAATTTTCTCAAGCAAAGGTTATATAATGATCTTCAGGTCTTAGCTGTCATTACAATTCTTGAGTGTGATAACAATAAGTGTGTGCTCCAGTTTGATTGATTATACTTTCACTTACCAGACTCTAGCAGTAGTTCTGCATAGCAATGAGCTAGCTGCTAAACTAACCAGTTTCACTGCTCTACTTTGATCTTCTTTTTTATCTTGTTCTATACTGCTCTTTGTACATCTCCAGTGAGCATCTAAATGTTCAGCCGAGCATCATGGGTCTTCTAATTTGACAAGTACTTTTGTGACAGCTCACAGTTTCTGGCAAGTAATTGGTCAATTCAATACTGTGCCATGATGTTTTTCATCTCACTCTTTGTCTGCATTGCAGTTATTGTAGTCTTGACACCAAGCGTAGCTGCTTTTAACTGTCTCTCAACTTCTTGCAGTGTTTACTCTTTGGCCCATAGTTTGCTGGGCTAATGTAATCAGTCAATAACCAGATAAACCACCAGATGCATGTAAGCTGTATTGAATTTGTGTTAACCTTGATAACTTCTTGTAATTTTCACTCAACTCATTTTGATCTGCCGGCCCTCTTTCATTATACCTCTAATAAAACTTGTTACCTTTGAATCTAATATAAGAGCAAAGCTTCAACTGCTGTGAATTGTCAGTGGGTTTAATGTGAAAGATTATCCAAAAAAGAATCTCCTAATCAAGCAGACAGCTGTAAGAAAGATGCCACTTATTTTTTTAATCTGATCTAATAATGCATCTAGCTGCTCGAGCACTGACACATTCTGCAATATTGAACAAAACTATACAAAGTACTTCTACTGGAGTGTGCAGTGTGGCAAGCCGAGATTTGCTGTGTAAACATTAGTGTGTACATTGTATTGCTTTAATCAATTTTCTGACACATCATAATACCAAGCGTGAACATTAGCCTTTTTCAAGTGATCTGACATGTTGAATGGAGTATTTCAGCAATTTAAGATGGTGCGCTGTTTAAACAACACAATTAGCTCTCTGAGATTTAAAAATAAGCAGCAGATTCTACCAACAAACTTAAGCAGCACATTTTTGCTAGCTATTTGAATGTAATTTGCTGTCAAATCTTAACAATTGATCTGATCTAACTTTTCACTGACCTTCAGAAGACTGATACCAGCCTCTTGCTCCAGAATATACACATCTGCACAATATATTTCTGTTGAACTATCATGTTTCAGCTTGCAGAGCCATTTCAATGAGATGACAAGACAGCCATCTTGAAGCCTAACTACTTCTTTGATATATAAGTGGTATTGGGGCACATTCTCAAAGTCTGCTCACATGAGCTGTAAAAGATCAATGTCTTCATTTTAAAAGCATTCAGTCTGATAGTGTTCACTGACACACTGGCAATCTCAGCAAATAAATGAATATGCAGTTGAACCAGAGAATTTGTCCAATCCTTGAAATGTGTAAGTATACTATGCTCTATGTTTTGTTAAATTTTATGAATACTCACGAGGCAAAGAGTTGTGATAGGACTCATAGAATAAAACTTATTTCTGAAGGTTGACATATGTCTTGCTGGCTAAATATTCATTTCTTTTGACAGCTTGCTTTGCATATATCAGAGCACAGAGAAAGTAGGCACATTCAGTGTTTTGCACGTCTTCATCACTTACAGAAGTGTCTTTAGATGGTTATCTGACAGGCAAAGGTGAGGCAAGCTGTTGAGAAGATCAAACATAAACATCTGCACCACCAGTGAGCTCAAACTGTGCATATGCTGCAAATAATAAGTCTGCTTACTATTTAACTCTCATACAGTGCCCACTTTGTAGAGATTGCTGCACTCACACCACATGCATCTGAACAAGCAATTGTATTCCATCCTTTCATCTTATTATTAGACTCATAATCATCTGTGTTTATATTTTTCTCATGAATCAGTGTTCAAACATAAGTCAATAAATGTACTAACATAAGGCTTGCAATGCAATAATCACCTCTGAGACCTCTGTATCATCCTCTTCATGTTGTCTTACCTTATGCACTTTGTATTCTTCAGCATTAGAGACTTCTCTTGCTAACACTGCATGTGTAAAACAATCTAGGTTTGCCATTTCTTGAAGAACTTGCTCATGGCCCATCTGATTTATACTGATTTGTACTGAGAACAAAATCAGTTTGCCATTCATTGCTAGTAGCATATTGTCTTCTTCATCTAACATGCCAGCATATGCATCATGGTCAGAGCTCAATTGTCTATACTTTATCTTGATATTCTCATTGTGCAGAAATTCTCTTAAGCTGTTTACAAAGACCAATCAAACAGAGCTGGCATTGACTGCATATAATGCTTTGGACATTGAACTGCTCTGCACAGCTGAGCTCATTCAGTCATGTGTGGCACTAATATACTTCACTGTCACATAATGCTTGTCTCTTCAAAGAAGCTCATGCTGTATCTCTAGGAGCATAGTTTATAGCATGTACATTTTGAGCAACCTCTTCGAACTCTAAACAAAAGCAGCACTTGGTAAGATTTTGCACAACTTGTGGTAAACTTCTACTGACTATTTGGCAATGTTTTTCTTTTGCATGGCATTTTTAAACATGCAATTCAAGCATGTAACTGCAGTCTGAGTCTATAGAATTGTTTGCCCTAGAATCACAATGTTTGGCTTTATAGCTGTAGCAGATCACATGCTTGGTGCCATAAAACTAGGGTTATGTGGGCCATAGCATATATGCTCAGCAGATATAATTTCTTTATTTCTTCTATATTGCAACATAAATAATAATAACTTAGATATCATAATAGCTTGCTATTTATATGAAACTTAAAGCTATACATGGTATTCATCACTTTATCACTTTGCAAGATATTTTAACAGTAATTCTTTATTATTTTATTATATGAACCTTATCAATAATATGCCTGTCACATAAATAATAATAAGTTACAGCCTATTATACTGTTTATTTACAATATCTGACTATAAAATCCAAAGGCTAACTTATGCTCATCTGGACTATTAGCAAGCTGGGCTGGTTTCATGCTACAAAGCTGGGATTCTAAGTGATATAGGCTACCATGCTTCAATTCATCATTATACTATACTTGCTCATCAGCACTAACTATCCTGACTGTAAAGTGGTCATTGCCATAATAAATAAATTCACATAGCCTGTACTTGCACCTGTTCAAGTCCAGTATAGAAGTCCACTTGACAGTAACTTCATCAACTCTGAACCTGAGGAATTAAGGCATATTATCTATGATTACTTTCTTCACTAGCTTGGTACTACAGCTACTGCATGATGTATTGGCTATTTGTCTTGTGTTGGCATGTAACCACTCTAATGGAGTTCTCTTATCAACAGATCCACTTACGATGCCTTGCCTTTGCCATCTGTATGAGGAGTATACATGGAGCAAATCACTATAGGTCATATTTCTGCTTCTACCAATGATCTCACTGATCCCATGTGATGTGCACATATATTCCTTGTGCCAGAAGTCCTCTAATGGTTCAAGCATATAGCTACACAGCTCATGAATCTCAGTACCCTCATTGGTATGTAGAAAAAACTCTACAGAGTTTAGCTCTAATTGGGTAGCAAGCAAGATGAAAGATCAGGGGTAAGCTAAATCTCTATGAAGACTTGGAGAAGTTGCACTTGTAAAGCATGTTGTAAATAGAAATGATGATGGTTAAAATAAAAGAAATATATGAGGTGTACTCACTCCTTCCTCCAGTTGGATCTGAGGTGGCAAATTGCGCATTTTGAGAGAGCAGTTACCTTATTGGGTAGAGGTTGGGAGTTTAATTCTGGCTGGAGGATCTTTTTATTTCGATGGTTTTTGATTTTGAAAATTAAAATGAAGTGACATCATAGCAGAGAGTATAACTATATATTTCTATAAGATATCTATAAGTGTTGTAAGATGGTAGAATGGAGTAGAACAGCTACTAAGTGTGGTAGCTTGAAGAATTAAACTTTATATACAAGATCATAACTATATGCTTAATTATAAGCTCATATGTCTGAATATGCACAATTCAGTAGCCTAATACTTGCAAGGCATAGTAAAGAAGACTTCTAAAATATCCATGTGAATTATGAACACATATTGATCTGTAGAGAGAAGTAAGAGCAATGAATGTATAGCACATTTTCAGTAATTCCAAATGACTTTCAGTAATTCTAAATATATTCACAGTGGTGCTGGCTAGTACAGACAATAGGAATATAAAATATTAAACAATTGTAGCCACTGTCAGGTTCACAATCTATTGTGCAACACTGTGCACCAAGCTTTAAAGCCTGTAGTCAGCACTTTATCACTGAACCATGATCTTGAACTATTCTCATACTAGGTACACAATTAGTATGTATATAGCAGACCCTATGCTACGTAGTATAGATTGACAGAAATATGTGAGAAAGAGTAAAAGTGATGAAGAGGGCAGAACATTTTGTGGTGCTTATAGGGCGCTTATTCTGGCATTTTCTTGTGCTTTATTCTTTCCAAATCACCTCTTTAAATAATTAATCTGGTATATCTTTTTATATATTCTGGACTCTCTCAACATGCTCTATCTGATTGTATAACAATTATCTAGATGTTGTGCCTTTTGAAAATGGTCTATTTGTGAAATTTGTTTAAGTCTCCAGCTCAAACATAAAACACAGTGCTAAAGAGCCAAAACTGATCCAATTGTGACCAAATGATTTTTTACATGTATATCTATGATGGAAATATGTGTGGACCAAGTTTCAAGTCAATAGCTTAAGTATGGCAAGTTGTAGAGCAAGGGGCAGATTTGCATTAGAAAGTGAACTGACCCCAAAGTGCTACTTCAAACAGAACATTTCTTTATTACATTCAGAAATTGTAACTCTGCAAGCATCAAACTGGTACAAGTATGTGCCTGGCTTCCACAACATAGGTATGGGAAGGATCACCACCTGGAAGGGTTAAAAAATGTCTGAATAGCATGCTCTTAGCTGGAATGGATGTCTTTTGAGCTAGAAGCCCTGGTAGGCTTATATTTGTAGTGTATTAAGGCCTGCTTTCGATGTTTTTGATATTGAAAGCTTCATATTGCCACTTTCTTTATATTAAAATGTTTCAAAAAGTTTTATACATCTTTCCCCAACATAGGTGCAGTGTATATAATATTTGTACTAATTTACAGCATGTATAGAGAGTACAGAAGAGTGAACATGCTTGTATGTCTTCGCATTTTAAGGGTTTTGAGCCTCTGTGTACATTTCATCGCACTTCCCAGCTCCTCTGATTCCCTCCCCAAACCTTTAGATTATATATACATCTGTTCAAGTTCATCTGCATATTTTCCAAGCTCTATAGAAGATATAGAAAGACCTATTTCTAGTTTTCTTTTTCAAGTTTGAACACCATTTGGAGCACAGTATGATGTGGAGAACATGATAAGCCCTACAAATATGTGTATATACTCGTATGATGCATTACTATCTATACTACTACTTTTTCTGAAGGTTCCCTCAAAGATAAAGCCAAGAGAGCATGTGGAATGCTCTGCAAAAGCTATATTTCCATGATAGGTGCTTATTTCAAATCCAGAAATGCTACCATATATATCCAAAAAAGAGCCTGTTTTCGATAAGTATTTTGTAAATAGCAGGCCCAATATTATGTTTTAATATATAGTTTATATAGCAAACTTGCTCAAATATATGTTTCTATATGTTTCGACCAAAAACAAAAATAAGCGCCTAAATGTGGTATATCATGCTGTCTCCCCAATATAGCATATGTTTTCTAAGCTGTTCTGTGTTGTATTCTATTAGAAGGCTTACTATATCACTATTTAAACTTAGTCAAGGCTTGTTTGCTTAAAAAGCTCTTAAATACCTACATTTTAAACCCAAATGATGCCAATACCCTTTATATATGTTGTATTAAAGCCAACCCCCTTATCAATAGCCTGAAAAAGGTAGCAATTAATGTATTAGTTCTATAGTATAAAGTGACCCATAACTATAGAATAGGCCAAAGTAATGCATTACAAGTCTATGGCAAATCTAGGCTTTTAATGCATTACAGGTTGTGCTCAAACTTATGCAGTTATGCATTATTCCTACAGCAAAGGCTGCCAAGCAATGAGCAAGCACAAGTACAAGCATAATAAAACAAATTACTACAAGTTACTACTGAAGAACATATGAGTCAACATAGGCGAGGTATCAAGTGTTTAAATGTCCAAAACCATTGCCCAAAGTCTTTCTTGCACCCTGCAGGACCTGATCTACAGTCCACAACTTTTGACCCTTTCAATGACTTTTGCTTTTCAGCATTCAACGCCTTTCCATCTGCTGAAAAAGTGAAGAAGTACCTTGACCAGGTTTCAGCAAAGAACATGGATGACAAGGAAGACCAGAAAAGAGACCACCTCTTTGTAATGTTAGTAAGTCTACTTTCTCAGCCAAGCAACTGTGTCTGTACTAATCATTACTCTAGGAGTACGATAGCATGCTACGAGAGTGGTCTCAAAAAATCAGAATATCTCTAGACAAGCTATTACAACTTAATAGGCTGTGAGAGTACACACTAAATGCATGTTCAACATGTTCTTCCAGCTGCTCAGAAATTTTTGGCTTTTATTGCAGTGATTGTTTTTTGGGAGTGCGGTTGTTTGTGAGGAGTGCTGTAAAAAGAGTCACCATTGGTTGCCATTTTATTAAATTAAGATGTGTACTTATGTACAGTACGATGCCAACGTGTTATTAATCTTTGTAGTAGAGATGGAATGGGCAGTACTTTAAGAAGATCATTCTGAGAGATCTCGGCATTGCTCTTCAGCTAGGGCATCCAGCTAGGAAGATATGTTGCTCTTCAGCCATTGGCCTTCAAGTGTGCATGGTAATACATATCAGTGATCTTCATCTAGTCACACTACTTTTTTGTGGCTGCAACCAGCTATCTCACACGAGAGACTGAGTCCAACAGTTAATGTGTGCCAAGTTATATCCTGCCAGCTTTACCAATCTGACAATGTTTTGCACCTTCTGCGTTCTTGAATTATTCTACATCTTTACATTGCAGAGTAATATAACTGCGTATAATTTCTACATAAGCCTTCAAAAGCTGACCAACATTACGGAGCTAGACAAACAATATGTAAGTCGCATGCACACCTCTTCTATGTTTACTGACATTCCACCCAGAATTGCCTTTGACTATTTTTACAGATAATATGCAAATGGCGCTATTTGAAGCTTTTCAAGAGAGCGGAATGTGGGCACATCATTGACGGCACCAAGAATATCCCATAAGATAAGCTTTGTCTTTGCTGTCTGGCATGTCCATAACTGAGCTTTAACTTACCTAATAACTGGGCCTTTGTCTCGGATAACCTGAAGTGATGTTCCATGTCAATACTTTGCTGGCTAACACTGTTTGTAAGTTTATGTATATGCTGATTGTAGCAATTGATGCTAATTTCTGATTCAAATATTGTGTCGTGTCCAACAACACCTGCAATCCTAGCCTGATGTCTGGACTAGAGTATTTTATGAAGGATATAGAGTATTATGACTTTGTTCTCAAGTATGCAAACCAAGATGGTGTAAGCTCTCTATCTTGTCTTTTTTATGATAATGCTTAACACTTGTTTACATAAATAAGCACATGTACAGACTTTACAGCAATGGCACATGCAAACACAGAATTCAACCATGGCTATATAGCAACCAGTGTCAGTCTTATGCTATGCACACGACATAGTTTTGTTCTCCTGAATGGTGTAGGCAATCTTCAAAAGAGTGAAAGGTGTTTACTGTGTCTTGAGTCTAGATACAAAGCTGATGATAGCTGCCGACAGGTATTGTAATATGAGCTTCATCTTTATAGCTGCTTTGGTCCTCTTTGGCAAATGTAGCCCTATAGTGCTCTTCTATGATATCGCCTGTCAGTGGAAGTGTCGCATTCACAAGCATCTTGCAAGTGCTAAGTTTCTGGCACATCTGTGCATTGAATTTCCAAAAGACAACAATCTCTGCTTTCTAATTCCCAAATATCACTTTTGGGGCCATACTGGCAAAAACCACAGCCAGTACTCATTTAACCTGGTTTCTGATGTCAGTCACACTGATAGCAAGGAAATTGAGTGTAACTGGTGATGTTATGATGCGATGGCAGTCAGTACGTGAGAAATGGGTCCTGGCTCCCACTATGATACTCTTGAGAACTACTTCCAATAGTCTGATTTGGAAAGTTTGTCAATCTCAGTGAGCAATTTGCATATATAATTTGATGTGGTTGCTGACAAATATTATGTTTGTCAGGCCGTTTGCTTGCTAAAAAGCTAAAGTGTGCCCTTCGTGAATATGCCTTCCACAACTGGCTTTGGCAGAACTTCTCTATGGGCATACTGAATGTCAATGTTAATGTATAGAGAGCAAATGTGGAGGTGTGGGATAACAACATGACAAGAGATAATCCATACTACATTGCACCATCAGATACATTATACATGCTGCTTCTCAAGTATTGCTCTGATTTTGTCTCCATTAGATTTAATCAAAGCTCAAGTTAAAGCCCAGCTAGCAGAAGGGAAAGATTGCCAGACCATGAAGAACACTATAGGCCTGCATAAGGTGTCAGCATTGAGCTCCTTGAAATTGAAGACCTACAGTAAGTAGCCTTGTTTGCTATCTCAATGCCAAGCTAGTGAATTTTTCTAGATATCATTTCATCCTCAAATACCCCATTGTAACAAAAAAAACCTGCTCTCTCGTGGTCAACATTGCTGATAGGGAGGCTATAATCTGTCATTGTCTCCAAGCTGCTCGTGAGGTCCAAGCTGTATACATGCCCACCGTTTTAATGTTTGTGACATCTTATAGCCAGTGGAGTCAGTCAGATATGGGTGTGCTGTCTGCTTTGCCTGCTCAAAGCATATAAAAGCACCCTGCTGCCTCTGCTACTGATGTTGTACCGAAGCAGCAGCCATTGTTTTTACCAAACAAGCTTGGTGATGTAAATCTTGAGCAGTGTACCACTAGTTTACCAGGAATAAAAGATCGTCTTTGCAAAGGTCAAATATATGGCGTCCTTGACAGTTTACAAGTCCAACTACACATCAGGTCCCGTCTCCTTATATTTAAGGCTCGTAACAATTGTGGCCAACATTAGAATCAACACTCGCACAATAAGATTAAGATTTGAGCTGCTAAATATTGAAGAGCCCATGCTGCGAAGCTGGCTCTCATGGGGCCTGGCAACTGAGAGAATGGATGAAAACTGGGAGAATAAATGGCCGTCACTAAAGAACAGCAATATTTGGGGCCTCTCGAAGATGGAGCCACAGGTTAATAATAATGACGAGCCTTTGAGTTGACAATGTTAAACAACGCAGAGCCCGCATGTAATGTCATAAATCTGGCTTAGAGTTGGCTGGTGGCAGAAGTCAACATCAGAGGTTCCAGAGATAGTTGAAGGTGTGTAAAAGCCATTTATATTGTGACATTGAGGTATGACACTGACTTAATTTATACAGCACTCTAAATGGAGTGGCTGCACGTTATCGTAAAGAAAAGGTTAGAATAAGAAAAGTAAGTAAAATAAAATGAGGCTTGGTATAAAGAAGATTCTAGGAGAATCCTAGAAGGTTACTTCTTGATAAAAGGGAATGGAGTTTGGTCTGAAGTTCTAAACTAAAAGTAAGAAAGGTATAGTATGAAATACTTAGATTGAGTTTTCCCAATCTTTTCTTTCCAGGGTTCACTGGGTCAGCCTTTCAACCAAGCTATCCTGGTGTTCGTAGAGGACTAATTCGAAGACCACCTACTAATCTGCTTGAGTACTCTAAAGCCTCACTTGCCTGTTTATAAGGGACTTTCAAGGAATCTTAGAGGATGGGCTGTAAAAAGGTTTTGTTAATAGCTTAAGGACTAGTTACTTGGGTTAGTAGAATAGAGTTTTTAGATAAGTAAGATAAGAGGGTAACAAAGACAAGTTAATGTCTTAGTTAACTTAGTAAGCTTTGGCTAGTAAGGGCAATTCAATGTTCTTAGAAAATTTGTGTAACTTAAAGCAGTCTAAAGCTTCCAATTTAGAGTTGAAGATCAAGAATAGATTAAATCTCTTTACTGCTAGTCTAATTACTGTAAGCTCTACAGGAGACATACCACAGTTTCAAATAATGACGGCACTAGCTCACGCAGTCTAGAGTTAGTCAAATAGTGAACTTGTGCACTATACCAAGGGCATTTCCCTTCAGGTTATTCGAAAGTCAGAGGCTCTACTGTGCTTGAGGAATTTCTTAGGCTTTAAAGAAAAGAGTCTATTTTCTAAGAGCTAAAGAGCTTAGGAGATTAACTGCAAGTTTGCTGCTAGCTAAATTCTTGAGAGTGTGTGTGGTGCTTGGTGGGTTCGTGGTGTCCTTCACATTTTGCTCTCAGAGAACCTCTTCTATTTATACCTTTCAGCCTGTTGTTCCTTAGCCAATAGTAAAACTGGCTCTTCTATTCCACTGTAATTACTAAGCTATTTCTACTTTTATTAACAAGCATTTGTTTGTATTAGTTAGCTTTCTGTTTGTTTTACTAATGTATTGGTAAGCTATTGCTAATGTTTGTTAGAATATTACTATATTTTAGTAATTCATAGCTGTTGAGCATAGACCTTGATTATTAAGCATAGTTTAGATTACTAAGAAGCTGAGTTATATTATTAGTCATTGATTCACTTTTAGTAAGCTTGAGTGTTTATGCTTACTTTGCAGCTCTGAGTAAGCAGTTTCTTTTGGATTTGAATACCTGGCTTATTTCTTTAGTTTTCCTATACTTATAGTTATGATGCATAATAGCACATAAAGCAGAGTCATATGCTTCAAATAGAAGATAGTCTACATTCACAAAAAACAGCGCCACATTCTCCAGTTGTTAGAGGTGAACACTTTAGTGTGGAAAACATGTTGACTGGCATTATTGACTCAAACAGCATGCTCAACATTGTGGAAAGAGCTCAAAGCTTACGTGTTCAAACAGGCGGCCCTGCAGTAAAGTTGGACTACTCACTTCACAAAGATCTGGAAGTTCAGTGAACTACATTCTGATCCATCAGGTAATGATGGCACTCTTTGGCCCTAGTCTCAAGCTTGATATAGTAGCATATGCTACAAAACGCATTGCATGACATACTAATAACCAGTTTAGCAACTATATAAGGCAATTTTAGATCTATAATGACTGTTTGGCACCTCTCAGCATGCTCAGAACCTCAGTATAACATATAATATCTTGTTAAACACATGCCTGATTTAGAAGATGTTAATGATATAATGTGTTTGGGCGCTTATTTCCGTTTTATGTCATGGAAAGGTGGAGAACATATATAGAAACATATCTGCTATATAAAACATATGTTAGAACTTAATATTGGGCCCGCTATTCACAAAATACTCGCCAAGAGTCGAGTTTTTACAGATTTAGCATGGACTTAAGCTCCATCAGCTCCATCAAGTGCCACCAAGCTTCTATTTAGTTATCTGGCTCTTTACATCAGCTTTTTTGGGCTCTTTCTAGCTCAATTCCTTTTCCCCCATGTTTCTCCTGCTCTCAAAACATTGTAGGTTTGGTACATATATCTATGTAGAGTGTCTAGATACTGTTTAGACTAAATTGGACTACTGTATAATATATTATTCTATTGTTTCTATTAAAATTTGATTTCTTTGCTGCTAAAAGTAGTACAGAGCCCCATAAAGAGATGCTACAGCCTCTATGATGTTATACATTCATAATAAACATGCACAGAAGTGTATAAGACACTTTGGGAGCTCTGAAACATGCTGTAACTCCCCTCAAAGCCTGCAAAGTTTGGCAAAGAAAAAGTGCTCAATCAGAGGTTTTCATATACTGGGAGAATTTGCTTTAGGCCTATTATCAAATGTATATCCTTAGCTTTCTATTCCATGTCTTACAACCCATCCAATCTAGCAGATTTGACTATGGGAAATGGGCGCTTTTTTGCTGTTTTGACTACAAAATGTCCTATATAGGCTCAACCACTCGGAATTGGACAAGCGGACTATCTCCAGTCAGTTTATAGCATATAAACACAGTAGGGTACCAATTTGTAGATTGGTAAGACATGTATTGAGGGTGTGGTGCACTGGTTAACCTGGGGATGGCCTGTTAATGAGGTTCTGAGCACTTTGAAAGCATCAAACTTGCACAGGTGTGTGCCTGGCTTCCACAACACAGGTATGGGGTGGAATACCACCTGGAAGGGTTATGATATGTCCAAATAGCATGTTACCAGCTGTAACTAATGTGTATTGCACTGTAAGCCCTGGTGTGCTTGCATTTGTACTATTCTGAGGCTAGGTTTCGATATTTTTAACATTTGGGGGTGGATTCCAGTTCCTTCTCATTGTATAGGAGTCTTCTAAACTTTTTAATATCCTTTCCTAACATATAGGCAGTCTGTATAATATTTATAGAAATTTAGAAAGTGTGTAGAAGGTACAGGATAGTGTACAAGTTTTCATGCCTTCGCATTTTGAGGGTTTTGAGTCTCTGTATGCATTACTATATGACATAAAACCCCGAAAACTGCCTCCCCATAATAGTATAAGGTATATGTATGTACTCAGGACTATCCTCATATTTTCCAAGCACTATAGAAGGTGTGGGAAGACTTGTTTCTGGTGCTTATTTGAAGTTTGAACACTATTTGATGCACAGAATGCTGTGGAGGCTATCAAAGACCTTACAGATCTATATACACACTCTCATAGTGTATCACTATCTATACTAGTACTTGCCCTAAATGTTCTGCTAGAGAAAAAGCCAGGAGAGCATGTGGAATGGCCTGCAAAGCTAGATTCCCATGACAGACACTTAATTCTAATTCAGAAGCACTACTATATATATCCCAAAAAAGCCGAATTTTGGCGAGTATTTTGCAAATAACAGGCTAAATATTAATTTCTGGCATATGTTTAGTATAGAAAATATGTTTCTACATATATTTTCCATCATTACGGAAATAAGCGCCCAAACACATCATATCATATGATGTCTTTTTAATCAGGCATATATCTAATAAGATATTGTATATTATATAGAGATTTTGAGCATGCTGAGAAGTGCTGAACAGTCATTATAGGCCT